TAACAATGTAATCGATAAATCTTCATTTGAAGTGTCAAATTACTTTCAAAAGGTGATTTACTCTATTTTAATCGCTACCATACACATCGTACACACAGTTTATATCTGAACTATAAACTTTTATCCCAGTACTTCTGTGATTTGAATGTTTGTAACACAGAAATAATGATACTGTGTGACTGAAAAGACTGAAGCTGTTTCATTCATGACAGACAGCTGCTCTCTTTAGGTCAATGGCTGCGCGAACGCAAATTTAAATGTTCAAATCACACTGGTGTTATTGTACTCTGCACAGATGAACCAAGTGATCACAACATTGATCGCACACGTCAAAGGCTGAGGAATGAAACAGATGAATCATTGTAATTTAGGAATAGAATCAGGTTGGTGTTTGAATCGTGTTCGCGATCTTTAACGATCTATTAAATTAAAGTGCTTTGTCATGTTGGTGGTGACACCTCTCTTGCAACATGCTTAGCTATCACAGATATTATACTTAGCTTTTGGCTTCTGATCACAAATGTAGCCAAACTTTGGAGCGCTTAGATTAGCGAGCATAGGAATCGATAGGCGGAATCGAAATTTTAATTTGACAAGTGTCCGATTCCTGACCTTAAGTATCCGATTCTGGAATCGGAATCGATTTTCGATTCCCAACCCTATTCATACCTCACATATGCAAGATTTTCAACCCACAAATGTGACAAAAATGGTGACTTTATATCTCACAAATACGACTTTACTCCTCAAAAACGTTACTTCATCTCTCACAATTGCAACTTCCTATCTCATAAACATGACTTTATACCACACAAATGCAACTGTATACCTCACGATTATGACTTTATATCTCATGACTTCACAACTCACAAATGCGACTTTATACCTCAAAATTGTGAATTCATACCTCAAAATCACGACGTCATATCACACAATTGTAACTTTATATCTCAAAAATGTGACTTCATATCTCACAAATGCAACTTTAGTTCTTATTTAAAAATTTTGTTCACAATTACTCATTTTATTTAATTTTTTTTTAATCTGAGGCAAAAAAACAAGCTTCCATAAGAAGTACAGCTGGATCACAGCAATCGCAAAGCACTGCCCTCTCTTGTTATTGCACATATTTGACTATTTAAAGTATCTGATTTGACTCTTTAAAGAAATGCTTGCTCTAAATGTGAGACTGCTAACATCAGTGTGCCTATGTTTAAGTTGCTTACATGTGACAGGAATTGCCATGCTGTTAACTGAGCACTATTTAATCCCATGCATAATGTTTGAAAATAAACATGCGTTGGGAGATCATCTGCGATAACAAGGTTAAGTTGTTTCCTCAAGCTCTGTAACTGACCTCTCTGCCTGCCCTGGATGCTCCTCAGCGCCAGGATGTTCTGCTCATCAGACAGGAAGTGCTTCATCTTGTGAAAGGGCTCTTTGCCACGGATAGTTAACTTGCTCCAGGGTTTGGGCCGGGCCAGAATCTCACTGACCGAGCCTTGGGACAGACCCAACACATAATGGCCGAACACACGCTGGCCGATGTTGTGTTTGATCAGCTGCTCCTTGACCTGTCGCGCAATCTCAGCCGTGTCCATTTCCTCCCCTTCCGACGTGCTGCCTGCACCCTCAGACTGGCTGGGAGAGGGTGCCAGGCCATTAACCTCCGGGCTGCCCGCTGACTGAGGGGGTAGGGGGCTGGAGAGAGAGTTGGTTGTAGCGTAATGGGGCAGCCCGAAGAGCACAGAACTTGGAGAAGGGTCCTGGAGGGCTTTGGTGTAGATGGTTTGCATGAGCTGCCTCTGAAGAAGAGAGTTGAGTGCCATTTTGCCAGCCAACGGGGGGAACGTGGCGCCCACGCTGGCCATGCCGGGGGTAAAGAAGTCTGGCCCGATGCCCGTGGGGGAGAAAGGGTGTGTACCGTTGGCACTGGCAGCAGATTCGGAGGTAGCGGTGCCCGTCCTCATCAAAAGCTGAGGGGAGGGGGGAGGAGGGGACCCCTGGAGTGTGGTAGGGACTGGAGTGGCAGGAAAACGCTGAGGGTTTTCCACTGTGGTTTCTTTACTTTTCCGCCCCACTGATCCTGTAGAACAAACCGAAGGGTGATGAGAAAAATCATGGGTACTGATTTAGACTGCTGCTAAAAATATTTAGGAGATAAATCCTGGCAAGGTGATTTTGTATCATCCTGAAGGTGGATACTGGCCGATTTACTGTACATTATGCCATGGCTACTTAATTAATAAATAGACGTAATGCTGAAATTTGAGAACACAAAGTAATACTAAAGAAATTAAAACTATTGGTTTTAAAATTGGTTACCTGGAACAAAAGACAATATTTATACAAAGCAATCATTCTACAAAAATATATGACCACAGAATGTCTTTTGACCAATTACAATCAAGAATTCCATATATATATATATATATATATATATACATATAGAGATTGTATTTCTTGTCTTAGTCACATTTTCATTTAGAGCAGAAATGGGATTTGAATGTGTAGCAGATTCAAACCACACTGTTTGAATTTTTTTTCAAACAAATTTTTTTTGAAGTTGTAAATAAAACAAAGATTAAAGTACATTTTACAAGAAAATATTTTATAGTCAAAATGTCATGTTTAATTAAATGTGTTACTTGCTGTTTCACTATAATTATTTGTGAAATTTACTAGAAATTTCTGAGTGAAAACAGCTTCTACACCCATTTTTTTTTCAGTGCACAGCTATATCTGTTTCCCTATTTTTAAGTTTTTTTTCCCCCCTATAAATGAAACTAAGATAAATTCAAAAATATTATTTTCTAAAAAAAACGAGCAGAAACAAAGTGCCAAAGACTTGCTTTGCACGCTTCAAGGAAATCTGTGGTGTGTATGTGTGTGTGCCACAGGCTGACGTTTAACACTGATCTCCTCTGAGGTCTGTAGACTAGCAGGCATGTCCAGAGATATCAGGCCAGGCAACTGTGCGTGGGCTACCTGCTCATGCTGTGGGGACTGTTCACTGCAAGGGCTTGTGGGTGTCAGTACGGTTATCCTTTTTGCCATGACAAAACACCTCTTCTGTGTGCGCTTCCATAACAATACCATCACTTTATACAATGGTGGCAAAATCAATATTTAGTGCAACAGAATTCTGTTGGCTGTCAGAGACAGATACATGCTATGATCACACATGATTCTCCAACACTGCCGTCAGCAGCAAATGCCAGGTTTAAAAATGCAAAATTTGTGATAGAAAGTCACATTTAAAACGCAAATGAAATGTATGATCTCCATAGGGGTGTCCAGAGGTGTTCTGTAATGACATTTCCAACCTTACACACACAGAGCGTGGTCGAAAGAGCAGGAAAAGGGAAACAAGGCCTAATTATCACATTGGTCTCCGCTAGCCGTTCAGGATTTATGCAAGCCCCAGGTGACCTGATCTCCTACAAGCCAAAACGTAATATGCTGCTGCCTCTAGAAAAGGATGAACTGACCTTAACAACACAAATGCCTCCAAACCCAACTCGTCACTCTCAGGATGATCTGTTACGATATATATTTGTTTTTGTTTTTTCTTGAGGCAAAATAAGATCATACAGCCATAAAGTTCTGAAAGTTTTATTAGGTCATGTTGCATGTCCAGCTGCATTTTGGGGGAAGTTAGGTTTGGAAAAAAGTAATCAATAAATCATGCCAGTTCCTGTGTGTAAGCTGCATCTTCGCAATTTCCCAGTGACTGGCTGGTTAATGTTCCTCGGAAGAGGATGGATACCGTGTAAACTCACCACTGAAGTCATTGTTGGCCAGTCGTTTCAAAGCGCTCTCAGACAGCCGGCTATGGACTTTCCCCGTCAGCAACATCTCCAATGGCTTGGATGAGTCCTAAAATGAAGGACGGATAAGGTTAAGAAAAAATATACAAGAGGGTAGAAAATGATGGAAAGTAAGGGAACAGAAATGAGGGAGAAAAGGAAGTGAATAAGGAAGTAAAACAGGAAGAAGAAAAATGAAGGAAGAAAAACAAAAGTAAAGTTATGGAGAGGGAAGGAAGGAAGGAAGGAAGGTGAAACAAATGTAAAGTTTTAGAAGGAAATCATTGAGAAAAGAAAAGAAAGAAAAAAGGAAAGAAAGAAGAAGGGAAATTAAGGCAGAAAGGAAGGAAGGAGAAGCAAATGTAAGGTTTTAGAAGGAAAAGAAAAGGAAAGGAAGGAAGGAAGGAGGAAAGAAAGAAAGAAAGGTTTAGGAAGGAAAGAATTGAGAAAGGGAAAGAAAGGAAGGAACTGAGTATGGAAGGGAATGGAAAGGGGAAAAAGGAAATGAGGAATAAAGAATAGAAGAAAGTAGGAATATAAAGGAAGAAACAAACCAAAGGAAAGTTAAAGGAAGGAAGGAACAAAATACAGAAAAAATAAAACAACACTATCAGCTCTTTCACATGTATTTATTAGTACAAAATTAAAATTAATGTTTCAGAAATTAACGGGACAAATTTATGACATGATATTCAGAATTTACAAAACATCAAAAGCAAGAAAACATGCTGCCTTTTACTATTACAAGAAGAAAAAAATCCAATCAACTTCATTCTTTCTAAACACGTGATGTCTTACCTGTACTGAAGAGTGATGATCTGATGAGTTGTGCTCCATTGATTTCAGGTTGCTGTTGAGAGTGAAAAAAGTGTTTACGTATTAAATAATGGTGCTACTAAGCCAAATCCAGAAGCATTTCGCTTTCCGATTCAGGTAAAGAACTAAACGCCGCTCATCTTAATACGCGTTGGCTCAGCGTTCAGTATCATAATTCGAAAATTCCTGTGACACCTACAATCACGTTACCCAAATTAACCTGTGTGCCTAGCCGCACTCCACTCAGGGCTGATCTGTTATCTATGGATTAAACGGGGCCATTTTCAAAAGCCTTTTGGGTGAAAACACTCATTATATTACGGTGGAATGTGCCTCGAGTACTGTAGACAACAAGCTATCAATATACATTCAGCAAAGCGGCTTTTTAGGCCGATCATCAGACCAGCGCAGATCTTAACAACACCCTCTATTCATGGATTACTCGCTTTATAAATCCCAATTGGGAATATTACGCCTAAAATCAAGTTATGCAACGGACAGCCAGACATCTCCTGAAGCCTCCCAACACACACGCCGACAGCACAGACGAGCGGCCGAGCCAAAAACACACACATCAGTCAATTAGGTTATCGCCGATGCAAACTACGTTAGCCTCCTCATTACAGCTGTGGCTGGAGATGAAACGCAGCAATCCCTCAGTCCCGCGCAGAAACCTCTCCGACAACAAAGCGTGCTTAATCCGCTTTTCTCAAAAATAAGACCCAATACTCCTTGCATACCTAAGGTTCTTTGAATTTATTAAACAGAACTGAGATTACCGCGGAGTAAAAATCCTTCTGGTAAAATATGGGAATAAAAGGTCCGTGCGCAGGAGTTTGGCGATCTCTGCGGTTCATATCTCAGCTGGCTGAACTACATCGGATCACATTCAGTACGTCTGACTGTAAAGTTCAAGACCACCAGGTACTGAAAACTCACAATTCGAGCCCTGGAGAGAGAGAGGACGGTACATGCATAACGGAGTGGTGGGCAAAGGTTAAAGGCAGAGTGAGTGATTTTTCAAAAATGCTTTAAAAACTGATTCGGGCCGAATCGCAAAACAAACTTGTAGCCAATCAGCAATAGGTCTGAGGGTCTTGAATTATGTATGTGGATAAACAACACCAGGTCAGGTCACTCCAAACAAAACCTTTGCTTATTTAGGTTCACCTTAAAGCCAATTTGTGGTATTACACACTTGAATGTCATGTTAAGGTTGAAGCAACGTTCCCATCAGCGTTAAAATAATGTTAATAATGCTAAAATATTCACATAAATGTGAGGGAAAAGGCTGAAGCGTCAGGATTATTTGCGCTGACAGAATTAGTGCTTTAGAATTTACCAGAGTTCTCGTTTGATCTCCTCGTAGTCTGACTGCTCTTGAAGCTTTTCTTGAAGTTGCTGGGGAGGGGAAAAGGCAGATATATGTATTTATAAGCAAATCTGTACTGTGAATTACTGATGAACTATATTATACTGAAATTCTCACAATATTCACACAGAGGGTTCAAATATTTCCCATAGAATAAAAACAGCATACTATTTTGGAATGACATAAGAGTGAATAATGACAGATTTTTTTTTTTTTTTTTCTGGTACCCTATAACTTTAAGGGGCTCAAAATAAATGATACAAACAATGAAACATTTCTTTCTTTTTGAAAAATAATTTTTTTTAGATTTTATTAAATCAAAACTATTTAAAATTACATTCAATTAAAATAATATATTTGGTAATATACACTACTGTTCAAAATTTTGGGGAAAATACTTTTTTTTTCAGCAAGGATGCATTAAACTGATCAAAAGTGACAGTATTTATATTTACAGTGTTACAAAAGATTTCTACTCCAAATACATTTTTTAATATGTTTTTATTCATCACAGGAATAAATTATTATTTTTAAAATAATTTTTTAATAATTATAAATTTAATAATAATAATTTAAAAATAATTATAAAAAAACAGTTTGTAAATACATATTACAAATATATTAAAATGTAAAAAAAGTTACAGTTTGTAAATTGTAACAACATTTCATAATATACAATACTGCTGTTTTAATTGTATTTTTGATCGAATAAATGAAGCCTTGGTGAGCATAAGAAACTTCTTTCAAAAACATCTCATATACTGTATTTCAAACATTGAGTAAATATTGTGAAATTAAGCGTACAAATTAAGCCACTATGTGTACTTTTAGAGTTTATTTGCTATTAAATTGTTCCTAGTAAAAAAGTATAGTTCAAATGTATTAACATATTTACTGACATATCGCTTGAGACTTACTGATATAAAATTTTTTATTAAACTATTTGGAGTACCACTTGTGCACAAAGCAAATTTCTTAATATTAAGCCTAAAATGTGTTTTAATGTCACTATTGATGAGGACTGTATGACCTTTGAATTATATCGGTCTTTAAATACAAGATATTTAAAGTGTAGCTGAAGTATAGTTCCACTTTAACACAATCACTTCAGTATATCTTTAGTTGGACTTCAGCACTACTTCCACATAATTAAAGGGTTAGTTCACCCAAAAATGAAAATTAGGTTGTTTTACTCACCCCCAAGGCATCCTAGGTGTATATGACTTTCTTCTTTCAGACGAATCCAGTCGGAGTTATTTTAAAAATTGTCCTGGCTATTCCAAGCTCTATCATTGCAGTCAGCGGGTGTTACAGTGCTTCAGTCCAAAAGAAGTGAAATAAAAAGCGCCCATCCATAAAAAAAGTGTCTCACACGGCTCCGGGGGGTGAACAAAGGCCTCCTGTAGCGAATCGATGCGTTTTTATAAGAAAAATATCCATATTCAAAACGTAATAATCACTTTAATCTAGCTTGCGCTCACTGTTGTAAATGAAAGCAGTTCCGGGTGGATGACGTATGAGGTTGGATTTTCGCATGCGCCGCTCAGAAGTGACGAACGCAGAAGTGCAGCAGAGAGATCAAAACAAAACAATGGTCACTAATTAGAAGTACAAAACGAGGATTTGTAAAGAAGAATGTCAGAGGATTTCGATATAAGCCAAGAGGAGACTGGTTTTCCTTTGCTAAAGTAAGGAAACTTTGCTTCCTTTGCTCCTGTAAACAAACGTTGGTTTTCACAAGACTCACCGGCGCATACGCAACGCTGAAATCATACGTCATCAGCCCGGAGCTGCTTCAGTGTACAACTGCTGGCGCAAGCTAGATTAAAGTGATTATTACGTTTTGAATATAGATATTTGTCTTACAAAAAAGCATTGATTCGCTACAGGAGGCCTTTGTTTACCCCCCGGGGCCGTGTGAGACACTTTTTTTTATGGATGGGCGCTTTTTATTTCACTTCTTTAGGACTGAAGCACTGCAACACCCGCTGACTGCAATGATAGAGCTTGGAATAGCCAGGACAAGTTTTAATATAACTCCGAGGATTCGTCTGAAAGAAGAAAATCATATACACCTAGGATGCTTTGGGGGTGAGTAAAACACAGCCTAATTTCATTTTTGGGTGAACTAACCCTTTAAAGCGTCATGGCAGAGCATTAAAGTCGACTAGTCACTGGATTCATCTGAAAGAAGAAAGTCATATACACCTAGGATGGCTCTGGGGTGAGTAAAACACAGCCTAATTTTTGGGTGAACTAACCCTTTAAAGTGCATTAAGTACAAAATTTGTTGTTCCAATTCATCAGACTAAGTATACCAGTTTAGTATACCAAAAGTACAATTGCAGGGTATTTTTATTAAGTACACAAATATGTGAATGTATTTGTAGTATACGTAGCATGAATCAGATGTATTTCAAATACATTTCAGTATATTTCTTTTTCACTAGGGGTATTATATACTTCAGCTTTTCATCAGCCATTCTACTTTCTAGAAACAGCCATTAAAAAACCCATTTCGCTCAACCACTATTCAATATGAATCTCCCGGCACTGCTCACGCTCAGATTCTGCAGTAGAAGTTGAGTCTGCTACAGGCAGGCCAGTTCAGAGCAGTCTCTCCGCGTGATGCTCAGCGATGGCTTCTTCTCAGCTCAGTCTCCTGCCATCCAACCAGCTGTCATTCAAACTCTAAACATTCACTACATGGGTCACATGGCTCATGTGAGTCGCTGCAACATTTACAGGCCTGTCCTGCAGCCGCAGAGCAGAGATCTGACTGCTGCCACGAGCAGGACCACTCGCTTCATCCAACATGAAATGTCGAGATGAAACAGCTCGTGCCTGGAGTCCAGTGCTAATGTGACTTTAGATGGGCCGCTGCTCCATAATGACCAGCCAGGCTCTTTCACTTGTACTTGCTACAGCTGTTTAGCCAACTAAAGAGCGGCGCTTCTACATCAATGCTTATACATAAATAAAGAAGGCTGTATGGCACAGCAATTTTACCACAGTAATGGAGTACAATGCAATGCAGGACTAACTAATTGCATACTACTAACCATCTAAACACATGATCAAAGCTTAAGTTATGCTCTACTTAATATATTACCAATGTCTTTCATTAATAAGTTGGTCTGACTGACCTTTAATAGGGCCTCTTTGGAGCTCAGCTGCTGCTCGAGCTGGCTGATCTGATTGGTGGAGGTCTCGCTGAGCTGGGCCAGACTGGCTTGAAGTCTCTGAACGTCCTCGGCCAAACGCTCTACCTCCCTTTCCTTTGCACCCAGCTCTGCCTCCAGACTGCTGCAAGATAGCGCCTCCAGAGACTTGTCCTGCACACACAAATACACACATTTTACAATGCTGTACAGACAATGTAAATGGTAACACTTCCTGTTAGCCAAGGCAAATGTCTGTGTTCTTGAGCAGGGTGATGCGAAGTACTATGTTGTATCAAATTTGTTTTTAAATGAACCTGCACTGTTAAGAGTGTATATACTGTGCAAAGTACAATAAAAATATTTTAAATGCATTATATTCATAAACCCTTATAATGAACTTCACAAATAATTATAAATATAGTTTGGTCATACTTTATTTTAGGGTCCAATTCTCGATATTAACAAACCATTAACTACAAATTTTGCCTCAATAAACTCCTAATTTGCTGTTTATTAATAGTTAGTAAGGTAGTTGTTAAATTTAGGTATTGGGTAGGATTAGGGATGTAGAATATGGCCATGCAGAATATGTGCTTTATAAGTACTAATAAACAGCCAATATGTTAATAATAGGCATGCTAACAAACAACTAGTTAATAGTGAGAATTGGTCCCTATACTAAAGTGTTACCTATAGTTTCTATACAGTATTACATTATTTGTTTAATTGTTCATATATTTAATGCTGTTAACATTTATTAATGACAGATTTTTTTCATAATGTATTGATCCATTATTAATTACTTATTCATTATAAATAAATTAATATTAAAATGCAATTACTTATATATTTAAAAAGACAAAAAAGATATAAATTAATAAATATTTCACTATAATATAATAAATTATACTGCAAATATAAACTGGCTACACTACTTGCAACGGCACTGCGAATGCGTAATGCATTAAGAATATTAAGCATTGTATAAAAAAAATGTGTACAATTATTTACAAATCAGACATTCATGCTTCTAATGTATGCATTAAAAAGTTTTTTTTTAATAATTTACAAATCTGATATCAATCCTGATTAAGTATTTTTTGACAGCCCTAATTGATTAATCTCAATATTATAACAGCGTTAATATGTGAATGCATCCCTCCTATATCCTCCCTCTTTCATTACAATACAGGCATGTAGAGTTGAGTTCTTACTACTTCCGGTGCTTTCTGGATCTGATTGGATGGTTGCAGGGTTTTGCCAGCTGAAGTGAGCTGCTCCCTCAGGCTCACGGCCTCCCTCTCTGCCGCCTCGGCCCTCTGTGGGCCACAAACAGAACAAATGGGTTAAAAATTGCCTAAGTCGAAGATACATAACCTTAATATCAACCAACGCTGAGAAGACTGGGAGCTAAGAGATCACAGGCCTATTTTTTATGGCTGGGCTGAAAAATGTTAACTGAACTCACATGGGTCCTACTTGGCTGAGTGCTCTAGTATTCAAGCTAAAGTGTGTCAAGGTATGTACGGTTGGTTGATTCACAGAATATGCAAATCACGCAGAGTTCATTTTAAATAAAGATTGTGGTGTTAATTCATTTGTTGCCCTAAAATGGATGCCTGACCTAAAGACAAATGGCTAGATTCACGATGAGACTTCAAAAGTTAAATGTATTGTAAAAGCTGCTTAAAGCATTCAACCTTTAGATGCACTGAATCCAACACCACCATCTTTATGCATTTATGGTAATGACGAGCTTAATTATGCTAATTTATTCTAAGTGTCTACGTAACAAGTCTTACCAAATGTTCTTTTTTCTGTTGATTGGAATAATAATGCTAATGAAAACAATGATTATAAACTTTATACTCGAGTGTTTGTTTATTGCTTGCCCTACATTTTCAAAAACTTAGTTTATCATTTTTAGACAAGCAAACTGATTTTTACAGTGTTTACAAACAGAGACATTCAGAAAAAATGGGAGTTTTGAGTAAGTTAGCAAGAAATAAGTCAGGAAGAGATCAATTAATAATAATATAATATAAAATAAAATATTCCTACAGATCAGCTATCCCAAACACATAAGGTCAGTAAATGATAGACTGCTGATAAAAAAAAAAAATCCCATAAATGCACAAAACCAATAAAAAGGCAAGAGATTCTTTATATTGCATCACATAAAAGATCTGATATCCATTTAGATTTAGCCGTTGGGGCTCAGAGCTCGAAAAAGTGCAAGGGAATGATGGATTTCTTCCAAAAGGAAAGCAGATGGAGGGAATTGGGATATCTGGAACTTGGATATATGTGACTCCAATAAAGTTGTGTGCTAATAAAAGAAATTTGCAATCTAGCACAGCAACTTCTGTAGAGTCCATTAGACCGGTGATATTAATAAAAGACCTAAACAAGCTGTTATTGTGTCTTAGATTTGCATACAATAGAAATACGAGTCACTTTTCCATGAGGAATATGGCCTTTACCTGATTGGCTCTTTCCAAATCTGTCATCACCACTTCAATCTCATTGGCCCTGAAAAATAAAGGCGCACATTACTTACACAGGCAGGAGGGAAACGGTAACGCAGGTTTGTTGCAGTGAAACACAATGATGCAATATAACGCAATGCAATAAAATGGGTCACGTAAGGAAAAGACCAGGTGGAACAGAAGACCTCACATCAACATAAAACGGGTAATCAGCATCTTGCCTCACTTCTGGGCCGCTTGCATGTGTGCATATGCAATTACGAGCAGCTAGATGCGTTCTGAGAGCATTCATCATGAAAGCATCTGGGTATGTGTGTGTTGTTGTGTAGAGATCAGCCGTTTCAGTTGGACTTCCATAACCCTGTCATGCATGTGAACACTTGCACACTCACCCGTATGCACACTGGCAAACACACATACACACTACCGCACGCACACAGGGCCATTAAGCCCTCTCGATTTCACAGTAATCCGATGGACTGTGAGCTGTGTAGCCCAGCAGTGGGTTCACGGCTCAGCCACATGGACAAGCCCAGGTTAAAACAGAGGGATTACACTAATATAGGCCTCAGACTCCTTTTAATGCACACTAATCTGATATAATATTCTCAATTCTGCTAGCGCGCAGCTCAGCTCAGCAAATGGCATGGCTTAGGTGTGTAAACACAACTGCTTTCAATAAAGGTTAACAGTACTGTATGTCCCCATTAAACATTCAACTCAAATGAGTGGAGTTTGGTCACTCAAATACAGCTTTCAAACATTCTGTCAGGAAAAAAAAAAAGACAAAAAGACATGCTAACTATTTGGGTTAAATTAATTTTTATTATTAAAATTAGGAAACAAGTTTATGAAAACATCATGATCCAAATCCAAAGTCAAGGCTGAGGAATTAAAGGGACAGTTTACTCAAAAATTACAATTCGATCATCATTTACTCACCCTCAAGCTGTTCCAAGCATGCATGAACTTCTTTCTTCTGTGGAACATAAAAGAAGGTATTTTGAAGAATGTGAGTAACCAAACAGATTATGATCCCTACGGACTTCCATAACATTTTTATCCATTCTATAGAAGTCATCAATTGTTTGGTTACCAACATTCTTCAAAATACCTTTTATGTTCCACAAAAGAAAGAAACTCATCCATTTTTAGAACAGCTTGAGGGTGAGTAAATGGCAACAGGATTTTCATTTCTGGGTGGACTATCCCTTTAAGGTTTAGCTGGTTAGCATGGTCCAGCTAGCTGCTAGCCATTATATGTGCTTTATAAGTACTAATAAACAGCCAATATGTTAATAATGGGCATGCTAATAAGCTACTAGTTAATAGTGAGAATTGGTCCTTATACTTGTGTTACCGCCATCATTATATCAAAAAGTATCTTTTTCAGTTGACAAACATTTGCTGCTATTCTGACTAATAACCTTTTGCATATGACATAGTTTAAAGTGTTTAATTTTCTTTTATTAGATGTTTTGCCTCGACATACTTAGCATGTGGTTAAGTATACTAACGGCCAGGCTACATCACTGTTTTTGTTTTGATTTTGGCACATCTTAAAGGGGTCATATGATGCTGCTAAAAAGAACATTATTTCAATGTGTTCTCATAAGACAATGTGTTGTTTCTGGTGTGCTAACAACAAATGTTTCTGTACTACTCTACTAGCATTTTTTAAACCACAATCTTAACCAAAATCAAAGCATTCCCACAATAATGTGTAGCATGTGTGCTAACTGCTAGGCTAGTACTTTGTACTGTAGCCATTTTTGTTTGATTCTGAACCACAATCTCCACAAACTCAAATAGCTCACACATGATAATGTGTTGTAGCCTGTATTCTAACCGCTAGGCTACAAATTCAACTAATCTTTATTTTTTATTTTTTTTGCTTGATTTTGTAAAACAGTCTTTACTAAACTCAGAACATTCACACATAATGTGTTACAGCATGTGTACTGCTAGGTTACTACTCACTACAGAAGCTGTTTCTGTACCACTGCCTTTAACAAACTCATGTGTTCACACTTGAAGCAGCAAATCTAATGCTTGTAGCTGGATCTGACACGACAAAAATTAAACCAACACATAATCTTTAAGCAAGTGAAACTTTTAATCAAAAAAAATTGATAAAATAGATAACATCAGAAATACAATAACAAATGTAGATTCTACAGCGTATAATACTTCAGCTTCATTCATCGCACCAGAAGATAAACTGCAGTGCTTTACAACTATAGGACAGGAAGAGCTTTAGCCCACATACTGAGCCCTTAATCTGATAAAAGCACTTGCATTATTTCTGTCACCCACTGTATTCTCCTCTCGAACGGTTCTCCCATTGACATTTCTGACCATGTGACTGCAAACTGAGAGGAGTCAAGCACAGCTGAAATTAATTCAACAGCCAAGCTTAATTAGAGGCGATTTGGTTTAATGATTCAGATGAGCTTAACTCATCTTTGTGCACACTTTTAAGCGCGTGACTGCGTCATCTCATGGATGATGCAGCGTTGGAGTTTCATTGTGGCTAAAAAAAAAAAGTGAAGAGCGCTGTGAAAATACTATGTTTCAAATTATTATTGAAACCCAATTATTCACTCCAATTACATAATGGCTCTCTAACATCAAAGTGAAAACCCATTTGCAACCCATTTTACTTTTTTAATGTGACATTTCAAAGTGAAACAGGATATTCAACAAGAAAAAAGTAGAACGGGACTTTTTTTTTTACCCACTGGGAATTAATAGGATTGTGAAAAATGGGCATTACACACCAGAACGGCACTAAAAACAATGTTTAAACAGCTATTAAAATAGCCCGCAATTTTTTAAATTTGATATTATGTGCACCAGATTAATTGTTCATAATAAGAACCAGCACATTTAAGGAAACTAAACATAGCCAATTGCAATTTCACTTCAACTTTAAAAACGAAAATGTTCAATAATGTAGATATTTATTATTTAACATATATTTAGCTAGCTTCTTTCCCTCTGAGCTTTACCAAACCCAAAGAGTTAAATATAAATCATTAAATAACGTAAGATCATCACAGATTTGAGAATTATGGGATATAATACTCCTTTAAACCTAAAGACTGCAGATCAGAGGTTTATTTTATGCATTAACAGTGTCATGATCTCGTCATGGCACAGAATACAAAAATACAATCCCTCTTAAATACAGTGTAAAGAGGCACTCTCTCGCAAACACACACACAAGTGTGAACCTGCATAACCTAATCTCCTCTCATTTCTGCTCTCGTCAGCTCATGTTCACTCCCTCCTTTATGGGCCCCACTGTAAAAACACATTAAATGACGACCTTAAAGGGGCCATATTCGACACTTTCATAGTATTTTATTTCTTTCCTTGAATTCACTTACGTAAGGTTTCTTGCACTGAAAACAATCATAATTTAGTGTTACGCCCTCTCTTTGACCCTTACATATATACAGCCTGTTTTTGCTACTGTATCTTCAATAATTCTATATGCAAATGAGCTCTGCTGTGATTGGCTGACCTCTCGTGAACTGTTGGTAGCAATTTTTGTAACATTTTTATAGATGTTTCAAGTGGGAGGTTTGCGTGTTAGAGTGCATCAACGTTCTACATTGAAATTTAATTTCAAAAGACCAAAAAATAAAACTCGTTTTCCATGATATGTCCCCTTTAAAGATGAAAAGATAAGGACGAGAACTGCGTGAGACATGCATAACTCCCATTGGAGCTCAGCCTTCAAATCCAGCATGTTCTTCATCACCTCGAACTGGGAGGCCAGAGGTTATCTGCGAGATCATTTATTCGGATTATTTCATCATCTACATATGAACACACTACAATGTGGGAAAGTCCAAAGAAATAACAGTGTGGAACACATAAACACAACTTCTTTTATTCTATGAGCTACCGCTGATGAATAGAGCGTATTAAACACTTACTGCATTTGATTATTGTATTTGGTCATCTCTGGCCTAATAAATTATGAGAACCAGCTGCTTTGATTTTGACCTTTTCCATCCAGCACTGCTGTCAGAAAGAGGGGAGGTTAACTCGGCGCTCGGGCGAAGCTAGCGAGAGAGAGGTCCAGGTTACATGCATCCTCTGGCTGTAATTCAACTCTTTCAGGCGATTCTCTCTCTCCCGTCTTGCTCAAACTCACTCACGCTCGCTCTCTCCCCAGTGTCTTTGTTTCTGCTGCGGCTCAAATCCCCCTGGGCTGGTACGACATTTCACAGATTTAGCCCATTAGATTTCCATTTTGCTCTCTTTCTCCATTTGGCCCCTATCTTATGGAGCCAGTGTAGGCTTTATCCTGGTGGGTTTTTTTGTCCTCCCATCCTCTCTTAACCTTTTGAAGGCTGGGGTGGTAAGAAAACCCTCGGGGTTTGATTTTTCTCTCCTCTTGTTGAGTGTCTGACCTCCAGGAGATAAAAAAAAATCTCACTCTTAAGTGTCATTCCTGACCAACTCTCAAAACAACAAACATCATCGACCCAAATTTTTCTCGACAGCAATCACACAGGTGTATAATCATCTCAAAGGAGTTTTCAAGAGTTTTGTTCAGGAGTAAATTAATTAATTGATTTACCTGTTATTTCATTATAATGAGATACTCAACCTTACCAATAATAGTTTTTCCTTCAATTTCTGAAGGAAACAAGAAGCCTAAGTGGTCGCTAGGGTGTTGCTAGGGATTTCCAAATGGTTTCTTACAAGCCCAGAGTCAAAATATCCCAAATCTCTATAATATCCGGATTCATAGATATTGGTCAGCTACCTTCTTCTATGGCATTTTTCCCCCGCCCATTTAATCGCCAAAAAGATCGCACAAGTTGCATGATTAGAGGTATCACAGCACCAATATTACAGGTCAAAATACATACCGATGTTTAATACTTAAGGTTTGTGGTTTAGAAAAAAAATGCTTAACCATAAGAGTTAAGTGTAAAAATGTTAACTATGCATATAATACACTGATAAATATGAAAAGTTTAAAATCCAAACATCAAATAGTCTAAATATAAAGTCAAACAC